TCCCCATTTCCATTCTCAATTTTATTTCTCTGTAGACCCTACATTGCTTAAAGTCGATGCGACTTTATCAACCAACATCCGTCCACAAACAAACCTTCGGACACATGAAGATACATTCTTTCTTTCAAGACGGTTCACATTTTCTTCATTATGAGCTAAAGCTAGTTTCGACCTTGACGTCTAATTTTTTGAATTACTTCATTGATGATCTAATCACTACTGCGTACAATGTACTTGCAAAATCTTCGTTCCCGTGAACGTTAAGAGTTATTGATATTTCAAATTTTATCAAAGTCTCTTCTGTTGATTTAAGCCAGCTGCCTGACGAGGTTCAATGTTGACAAGATAAGAGGTCAATGTATTCAAGCGAATTTAAGTTCTGTGGTACATTCTAATGTACAATGGGTAAATGTCCGGTTAAAAACTAATCTTTGATGTGCCGCCTAAAATCCCTATTAAGAAGGACAGGCCTTGCGTGACCCGTGACATAAGATATTTATGCATTTCATTGGCTATTTTCTATCAAAATCCAAAGTCTGAAGACAAATTTGTGTAAAATATAATTGTTTGATTTTAAATACTGAAAATTTAAATAAACTAAACTCTAAAACAAATCTTTTCGGGATTTACATTTAAAGGGACTCTGGAATCAATGGAAAAAAATGCATTATTTTTCTGAATTTCGGTATTTAGCCTCTGTTTTTTCGGGAAATTCGGCATGACACCCCTCCCCCTTCTCTCTTCAACAGGTCAGGTTATCAAAGATGCTCTTTTATCCTATTGTAAAAAATGGTGTAAACGGGAGTAATCTGACAAATAGTCACTTGATTCCTATTTGAATAAATGTCTCAATATTGTTGATATTCGCATATCACATTTCGAAAATAATTTAGAAATAAAAATAAAGGAATAAGTAATATGCCCATTTCTAGGATTTAAAACAAAATTCAAGTACTCGCAAAGCATTTTGTGTTCGTACCGGCCGACAAGGCAGCCAACAATGTGGTGGTGGTATGACGTAAAGACTTCACGGAAATCCTTTAGAATGAAATTATACATTCAACTACAACTACATTCAAGGCCGTACGCTCCACAGAGAGACATATAGTAAATAATCATGTCACAACCACAGCTCAGCTTAAGGCCTCTTCTAAACATTTGAAGGTCCCCGCTATGCATTAGTTACCTAAACTACACAAAAAACCGTAAAATATCGTTTCATCTCGGCCGCTAGTAAGTGTTCTACTACTAGAATTTCAGTGCTTTTAACGAGTTCCTTAACTACTATCAAAGAACTGATCATTAATTTTTGTAATAAAACATATGAAAATAGTGGAACTACCCATTTTTGGAGTGTAAAAAATTCTTTGGATGTTTCAGATAAATTACGTGCTTTTGATGATCCTTTTGATTCGGTTGACAGTTTTGACTTTTCCACTCTTTACACTACGATTCCACACAATCTTATCAGACAAAAGTTTTCCTATTCAATTAAAAAATCGTTCGATAAATCTAATTTCAAATTTATTTGCTGCAACTCATATAATGCATTTTTCTCAAACTAGAAAAGTAAATATGCTAGATATACTTACTGGAGGTGTGATGAGATGATTACAGCCATAAATTTTCTCCTTGACAACATTTATGTCCGTTTCAGCAACAGAGTGTATCGACAGATTGTAGGTATTCCTATGGGCACCAATTGTGCCCATAGGTATTCCTATGGGCACCAATTGTGCCCCTTTAATAGCAGACTTGTTCCTTTACAGTTTATGACCAAACTCAGTAAAGACCCGTCTAAATTCCATTTAATTGATAAATTCAACAACACTTATTGTTATCTTGATGATATTTTGTCGTTAAATAATCAAGAATTCTCTAAATATACTGCCCGAAATTTACCCAAAGGAACTTACTTTAAATAAATTAAATATAAACAGCAACACGTGTCCTTTCCTAGATTTAGATATTTCAGTTTTACACCAGAAACTCTACACCAAAAATTTACGACAAAAGGGATGATTTATCGATCCCTATTGTTAATTTTCCTTTTTTTTGGACGGTGATGTTCCTCTGGCACCATCTTACGGTGTTTATATATCCCAACTCGTTCGTTATGCCCGTGTCTGTGGTGACGTTTTGGATTTCAATGATAGTAATCTATGTATTAGTGGTAAATTATTAAGTCAGGGATTTCGTTACCACAAATTACTTAAAACCTTTACTAAATTCTTCCACAACGATTTGGTTTGCAAGTTTGGCTGTACCAGTAAAAAACTTATTTCAGACGGAATAGCACATCCTTAATATTACGGTGATGTTGTTCACCGAGCCCGGAAATGTGTATACGATCCGGGTAAACTTATCAATCTTTTAAATAAACTTATTCTCAAAGGTTATCAATTCAACACTGTAATTAAATCTTTGAATATTGTTTTTATTGGTATAAATATTGATTTTGTTATCAGTAAATTAAAATCATACTAATAGTTTTGTTATACAAATATGCACGTTAACAGTTCTACAATCTGTCGATCCTTTATTTTGACATTGAACAAGGTCATGTTTTTCTCCGACTGTTTATGTACTGCTTGATATTTTAGTCTTAGATAGATGATTTTTTTTCATTAGTTGATATTGGCTTTAATTATTTATGCCTTGTATTTTTTTATTATCTGTGTATTTGCATTCAAGTGTCACAGGTCAAATTTATTCGTTCATTGTGTGTTAATTTACGTTTTTTGATTGAGTTAAGCCTTCCAATTGATATTTTATAGTGTGTTTTTCTATGTTGTGATGTTATACTATTGTTTCAGAAAAGGGAGAATGTTTGGTACCATTAAAACGTTTAATCCCGCTGCAAATGTTTGCACCTGTCCTAAGTCAGGAATCTGATTTCAGTAGTTGTCGTCTGTTTATGTAGTTCATACGTGTTTCTCGTTTCTCGTTTTTATATAGATTAGACCGTTGGTTTTTCCGTTTGAATGGTTTTACACTAGTAGTTTTTTGGGGCCCTTTATAGCTTGCTGTTCGGTGTCAGCCAATGCTCCGTGTTGAAGGCCGTACCTTGACCTATAATGGTTTACTTTTATAAATTGTAACTTGGATGTTGTCTCATTGGCACTCATACCACATCTTTCTATATCTATTTGAACTAGCTGTCAGTAACTGCGAGTACTCTCAGATCTGTACTTAGTGTCCTTTTATGTTGTTAGGGATAAGGGATGGATAAATACCCTGCCACGTCCGGTCTGTGTTTATGTTTGATGTTTTTATGCTTTGTATTGATCTGAGGAGTTAAACCTTTTCAACTGTTTTTATTGTTTGTTCTTATGTTGTGCTGTTACACCACTGTCCCAGGTAAGGGGAGGGGTAAGCGCTCACAAACATGTTTAACTCCGCCACATTTCTTATGTGCCTGTCCCAAATCAGGAGCCTGTAGTTCAGTAGTTGTCGTGGTTTATGTCTGTCATATTTGTTTTTCGTTAATTGTTTAGTTATAAATTAGTCCGTTAGTTTTCACTGTTGAATTGTTTCATATTTTTATGTCGGACCCTTTTATAGCCGACTATACGGTATGGATTTTTCTCATTGTTAAAGGCCATACGGTTGCCTATAATTGCTTACAACCACTTTATTTGAACTTAGTGGGTAGTTGTCTCATTGGCAATCATACCTCATCTCCTTATTTTTATAAATGTGAGAGAAAAAAATCATTCTGTATGATAATTTGAATTTGTTAGATATTTGCGATTCTGAACGACGTCCCACAATTAATCTGCAATTTCATGTTCAACAGTACCAAACAGTTTTATTACGGAAACAATTAGAGATATCATTAATGACTATGTAATCTTTATTTTCCAAAATCGAGTACTAGTTCCCAAATAAATCTCTAAATATATCCGTTTCCAATATTTTTTTTGTCCCATATTGACAACTATCTGAAGTCAGTTTATAGGACCTAAGTTTGATGTAGGCGTGGTAATCCATCCCTTTTATCCAATCAACTGTCCTTTATGATAAAGACTGGCGTACAATTGTAGTTGAAACTATGTAATTTATATAATGAAACTGTTATAGTTTTAGAACACAGTTACTTCAACATAAAAATGTAATGTACTTTATTGTAAAAGGTGTCAGACCTCCAATTCAAAATCCCTATCTATTCAACCAAATTTTGCAAATTTCACAGCTTTCTAAATATTTTACCTTAAGTTTAACTTCATAGAAACCAGGTATATCCTGAATTGTACATATATCATCTTTCTGCATGCCAATTTTCAACCTATGTTTAAAGTCTTGTAAGGAAATACTAACGTTCGGAAGAAAGCACTGCTAAAATAACCCCTGGTTTTCTGGAAATCTTAAATAAGTATACTATGGAGCGCAGTAATCCTCATTTTTTAATGCAAACTAATGGACAAGTAAATTTTGGCTCGAAATGGTCTACATACATTACTCATTCAATAAAAGTTTCATTTCTGCAAATTTGTTGGTTAGTTTAAGTAAACAATGACATGAAAAGCACTATTTTTTTGTCAGGGAAGGGCTACTTTTACATTCGTTCTAAATTGGAGTGGGTGAATTGGTGGTCTGACACCAAAAGCTGTGGATTACTGGTTCAAAATAAATTTGATTTCGTCAAGTTGCTTTGTAACCGCGGTCATGATGTTGGGTGTTATTTCTATGACAATTTAGCTCTTTGCATATATATAATAACTCCATAGTTTGTACACCTTTATTATATGTTCCTCTGCTTTTCCAATCAGCACAAATGGTTAAGCTCAGTCACTTGTTAAAAATTGAAACATGTCTAATATCACTACACAGAGATTTTTTGTTTACGCACTATTTTTTTAGTTCATCAATTTGAGGCGCATTAAGCATATTGACCCAAATGCTTAAGCCGTTGAATTTCAGTTAATTTTTTTTCTGTATGGTTGATTTTATATACACTATGGAGACATAAAATTAAAACCTTTCAATAATATGTTGAATTATAAAAATATTTGTATTCGGAGTATTATATTTAAATTTATGGGTAATTATATGTGTCAAAAAAGATTTAACTGGTTTCTGAATGTGTTAAAAAGAAAAAATCATAATGTGGCGTCAACAATGGACTTCTCAATAAACGAAGGCATACTACGATACAAGTATGGTAAGCACAACATACCATATATTAAGCAATATGTTTATGGTGCATTATTCATTACGTGGCTCCGAACCACAAATGATCGTGTACGTTAGATCGATTTTTTCAGAACAATTGAATGATACACTATAAAGATTATCTGTGCTTTGTTAAATTTTTGTATTAATATACTGTATGATACTACAACCTCACTATATAAGTGTTATCTATTGTCATTATCTAAAGAATAAAAAATCCAATCAGTGTTAAACATACATTAAAAAACAAAAGAATTGATAATCTGTTGGTTAATTAAGTCTTCCAAGTTATTAATTTAGAGAACCGAAAATAATACCAAAATACTATACTGACAAGAATGCTTTAAAGACATATCTTGACACTTAGTTGGTATCTAAAGACATAAATACTTGGTGTATCATATATGTACTTTGTAGTTAAATGCGGTATTAGTCAAATTTGATATAAAATTAATACGGTCGTTCTGTTAATTCTTAGATTTTGCTAAAATGTTTAAAATATGTTCACGTACATGTATAGCTGTGTTTCTTGTTTATTTTTTTTCTCACTCAGATCCAAGAACTGAAACGTTTCCTTGCACAATGAATCATTGTTTTACATTGTAATTAAATCCAGGTGTAGATGCGTGTTTGTCCCGCCATTGTGACAAGTGAAAAACAACTGCCATATTTCTAACTTGGTACATGCATTTTCCAACAAAGAATGGGAGCAGTACCAATATTCCACTACACTTAGGGATGATATATAACATATAAGACCTAAACATTGCCAATAGATCTCAAACGTTTTGCTTGCAAGACCTTAAAAAAAATGAATAATTCAAACAATTTTTTTATTTATTTTTTCAGAAATATGCACGTACACCCTAAGGGTTAATGGCAAACGAAAACAAATAGAACTAATGCTAAAGTCATTGTTTAAACATGACTATACAGTCTTCATTTCTTAATATACAATACAGTAATATAAGGCATATGTGGAGTCTGCATACTTTTAGTTATCGGCAATTTGTACATTTTCACTTCAATCCTACTGTCCAATATTTTTAATATCATGGACATGACCTGATACACGAAAGTATTAGGTAATGACGTCGTGTATCAGTGCAACGTCGCGTGCTTAATTAACCCTCTTAGTCTCAAATAATTATCATTTTCATACATTGAAAACCCTATTTTTTTTTTAGGTAAAAGCATATTTTCTGCATATTTTGAATACAAATTCCTCACCGAGTATGCCTTTATTTGACTTTGTAAACACTAAGTTTACATAGTTGACATTTCAAAAACATTGTTGTTTTACTTTCAAAATGTACCGTTAACGCATATGACGTCAACACATAAACTAGCTTGCAGGTACTTAAAAATACCGTAAGTGTTGTACAGCTAACGGCTTAAAACGGTTCTAGTTTTATCGATTTTCATAGTGTAAAGTGTTATTGATTGCAATAGTTCTTTTTCCATACTTTCAAAGAATTCCACTATACGTAGGAAAATGAGACAAAGAAATAGAATTCATTACAAAGCAAAAAGTACTAATAATTGTATCTATATGCAAAAATTTAGAGAATTACGTAATGAGGTGATTGATTTGGTTAGAAAATCTAAAGAGCAATATAAACAAAAACTTACAAAGGAAATTACTGACAAAAATATAACACCAGGGAAGTGGTGGAGGATTGTAAAATCTATTTCTTAACTATCAAAGTCTCGTGAACCTACACCTTTTCTTAAATCTGAAGGTCAAATATTTTTACATCCAGTAAATAAAGCTGAACTCTTAAACACTCATTTTTCAAATATTTCTAAAATTGATATTGAGCCTGAACTTCCAAATAATGTACCAGACCCACCATTTAAAATGGAGGAAATAATTATAAGAGAAGAAGAAGTTCTCGATCAAAAAACCTAAATTGTAATAAACCTTCTAGTCCTGATGGTGTTTTACCTAGAATTTTGAAAGAAATTAAATCTGGTATTGTCAAACCACCTACTTTGTTATTCAATTTTTCACTGAAACTCAAAAAGGTTCCATGTGCCTGGAAAATTTCCCATGTCACTCCTGTTTTTAAGGGAAATGGAAGCTGTCATGATCCTGTTAATTACCGACCTATTTCACTTACAAGTATCATATCAAAAATTATGGAGAAAATTTTGTTCAAACATTTGTTTAATTACATGAAAGATCACAATTTATTATGTAAATTTCAATCTGGTTTTCAACCAGGTGATAGTACAGTCAATCAACTAGCAGAAATATATAATACTGTTATTTCCAACCTTGATCAAGGAAAAGATATACGCTTTATTTATTGTGATATTTCTAAAGCTTTCGACAAAGTTTGGCATGATTGGTTACTATATAAATTGAACGTTTTAGGTATTCATAGTAATTTAATTGATTGGATTGGAGACTACCTAGGTGACAGATGCCAGAAAGTTGTTTTGGGTGGGTTTTATTCATCTCAAAAAGTTATCAGTGCAGGGGTACCCCAAGGCTCGGTACTGGGTCTCTTCCTTTTTTAACTTATATAAACGACATTGTGGAAAATATGAGTAATCAAATTAGATTATTTGCAGATGACACCTCTTTATATGCCATTATTGATGACTATGATACTGTTTCTAGGCCATTGACTGATGATCTTTGGAAAATAAAAACATGGGTTGAAAACTGGGCTGTTACATTTAATCCCTCCAAAACCGAAACCCTTTTATTTTCTAGAAAAGACATAAATCTTAACTTTGAGAGTAAGGCTAGTTGGAAATTACATATAAATGCAATTTATAAAAAAGCATGTTCTAGATTACTAGTACATTTATTAAGACAAGTAAAATATAGTTTGGATCGAAATGGACTTATTACAATTTATACAGCATTTATTCGCCCTATTCTAGAATATGCAAACATTATATGGGATAATTGTACTTTACAAGAAGCTAACTTATTGGAAAGTGTTCAAATTGAAGCTGCTCGTATTATTACTGGTCTCCGACGTACAACTTCTCTTAAAAAATTATACACAGAATTAGGTATTGAAAAATTATCAGACAGAAGGTAGAAGCACAAACTGACTACATTTTATAAAATAAAAAATGGATTCTCTCCAAGTTATATGATAGATTTATTAGAACCTTGTCTTCCCACACAAAATGATTACAATCTTAGGAGAGATTCTCAGAATTATACCATCCCAAGGTGCAGAACAGTTTCACATTATAGAAGTTTCATCCCGTCTGTTGTTAAACCCTGGAATGAATTAGATACTAATGTAAAACATGCTTTGTCGATTAACCAGTTCAAATCTGTACTTGATAAAATATATAAACCAGAGATTCGTCCTAAATATTTTTGTTCTGGTATAAGAAAATTTAATATTATTCATTGTCAATTGCGAAATGAAGCAAGTAATTTAAATTCGCACTTGTTTCATGATTTTTTTATTGAAAAACCTCCCTGTCCTAAATGTTTATATCAATGTGAAGACAATCAACATTATTTTTTTAATTGCCCATCATACACTTTAAACAGGATCATACTCCTTGATAAACTGTCTACTTATGAAGTTGATATTGATTTAAAGTTATTACTATTTGGTGATCAATCTATGAGTATTGAAGACAATATTCAGATAGTTAAGGCTGTTCATGAATACATAAAAAATTCAGAGAGATTTTTATAATGAAATATACTTTATAGTCCAAAACTAAATAAACTTTTACTTTGTATGTCTGTATTTTATTTTATATTTAAGTTCTTAGACCCCAACCGGCTGAAAAATAATTAAAATTGAAACAAAAATTAAAAAATAAACGACAATATATTGTAATTGATATGATAAAAACTAAAAAACTAATAAATGCACCTCTATTTTTCTATATCATTCAAACCATCTTTTGTATATCTAGTTTCTTAAATCTATTTTTTTCTTATTTTTTTTTTATTTTTTCTTATTAACATTCTAAATTTTTTTCTTATAATATTATGATTCTTTAATGTATCAATATGGTTATTACTCACTGTCGTTATTCTTCAGGTGCGATAATTTGGCCTAAGTAAAAATAAGTATATGATATCAAACATGTTGTTTTGAAAAATGAGTTATTAAAATTATAATATTGAACAGCTGACTGGAGACTGTTTAATTTAATGTAAGGCCTCTAAATCAATGTTGGAGTTTATTACCTAGAATATTAATATTTCTTTTTCTTTTTTTTTCTGAGTTAACTACATGTATTTGAAGCATTCTTAGAATATTTATACTTTTTATCTGAGTTAACTATTTGAAGCTTCATTCCAGTCAGCTATGAGGTGTTTTTGGAAAATTAATTCTGTGTTGCCATTATGTTTGTGTATGTGTTGCTTTGTTTGAATGTAATATATTGTACCTTGTTTTATGGAGAGGGCTTACATAGGCTATGCCTGTTGCCCAATCTAATTCAATTTATTTGAATAAAATACTGTTTAAACTAAACTATCAAAGTTTGATTTCCTATAATATATTTGATATTTGCTGAAATATCTTTAACTTAAAGAAGGTTTTATTATGGAAGCAATATAAAAAAAACATATTTACTCTTTTGTTGTAAAAACTCGGAAGTATAGTGTCGAAGTCTTGAATACTACTTTATAAATAGTGCCGAAGTCTACAATATCTCTTCATAAATGGAACATCATCTCAAAATCATTACTTAAGCAACTAAACAATATGCCGTGAATAAATAAATTGGCCGCATGATAATTCTTTTTTTTTTTTTATCATTTTTGTGATGTATTATGTAATGTGTTTTCACGTATGCCATCAACCCCATTGGGGTATTATTATTTTCAATAAAGTTCAATTATTCTTACTTTGCTATTACTTGAGATTTCATCCGGCTTGTCAGTCGACAGCAGGAAGAACATTTTCAGGCCGCAGGTCGTCAGTGGGAAAGAAAATTAGGCCGGAGCAAACGTCCCGTTCACCAAGGCGAGAAAAAATAAAAACA